CTCTTTTGTTGTTCTAAACAGTCCAAAAGTCTTTAATTTCTATTGCAGTCTTTGTATCATCTGTTTTTTATAACTCAGCAAAATTCCCATTGTTAAAGGATGAAATCTCATGTTTGTGAGAAATTCGCCTTCCTGAAGCAATTTATTCTTTTCCTGCCCTCCTGAACCCCCATTCACTTTCAACGACAGAGTGTTTTGCGAACAGTTGTAGGTGGAATAGTGAAAACTTGAGAATGATTACAAACCAGTTATCTAATCAGGGTTCAAAATCCAAGAAGATTAGGTTACAGTCTTAAAATTGCCTAATAAATAAATATCTATTGCATTGTTTTGATTTTCAGAAGTTATTTGTTCTTTTTTGGAAACATTTTGTTTTGGGACTGCTGTGAATTGGTGTGCATTTTAACCCCGACATCCTTTAAATTCTTCCTTGAGATTGCAATTTGAACAAGTAACTGACATCATTACTGTATATACATTGAGAAATAATCTATAGTTTATTTGTGCTCACAACACAATGCTTATATCTCTAAACAATAATAGATTTAGATCCAATTGGTGAAAATGTAAACAATGCTATTACAAAACTACAACAATTCTTAATTAGGGTTTTTGAATTGTGACATGACGTCTGCTCATTTGGAATATGTTAAGGAGAAAAGTGAAAATAAAAGAAGTGTATTTGCAATATTAGTAAGCCAAGAACAGAAATTAAACTTTTTAAAAAAAAATTAATTTATGTGATGTGGGCTTTACGAGCTAGGCCAGCATTTATTGGCCATCCCTACTTGCTGTGGAGAACGTGGGAGTGAGTTGCCTTCTTGAATTGCTGCAGACCATTTGGTGTAGATTTCTCTGACAATGATATTTTGGAGAGAGTTCTAGGATTTTGACTCAATGATGGTAGAGGAACAGTGGTATATTTCCAAGTCAGGATGGCAAGTGGCTTGGAGGGGAACTTGCAGATAGAGGTGTTTCAAAGTATCTGGTGCACTTGTCCTTAGATTGTTGTGGTTGTGAGTTTGGAAGGTGATATATTTGGAGCCTTGGAGAATTTCTGTTGTACATCTTGCAGATGGTACGCACTGTTACTACTGTACATCAGTAGAAGGAATGAATGTTTGTGGATGTGATCTCAATCAAGCGGGCTTTTTTTTTGTCCAGGATAATGTCAGGTTTCGTATGTGTTTTTGGAGCTGCACTTAACAATGCAAATGAGTATTCCATCACACTCCTGACTTGTGCTTTGTAGATGGCAGACAGGCATTTCAGGAGTGTCATGCTGGAGGTCATCAAAATTTAAAAGTGGTTTCGAAATGAGACATTTTAGCCTGATTAAGACGATAGGTCTTATGTACCTATGAGCCATGTGGCAACCTGAAATAATTAAAATATTGGGTAATGATAAGTGAGTATTTTTGTTATCAAAACCAAAACAGGAACCCCTCGGGGAGTATTCTTGGCTCAACTTTACTTCTCTTTACTAGTCACCTAGTCAATGTAATTTTAATAATTTTATTTTCTTTGCTGAAGTTACCACCAATCACAGGATAAATAGTTCCTCATTTTGAAGATACGAGGTAACTAAATATAATCTGATTTTCCAAACCAAATCATGGTCTAATAAATGGCATGTTATTTTAAACGCATCTTATGAAATTGAGATACGCTATGGCATTGTCTATTGAAAATTTTTGGAAGAGAGTTGCTTTTAAATTCATCTCTGCAGTTGGGTAATCCCAATTTGCCTGTACTGGAATATGGTGATAAAGATGTCTAAAGATCTAGCAGGACAGAAAATTGTCAAAATAACATGCTTCAATAAATATAATTGTAATTATTTCTATCTGGTCGTGGAAAATAAAAGCTACATTGTAGAGAAAATGTACCTTCTGCTCCTATGATTTTTACAAGCCTAAAATCATGCAAGTAACTGATCTTAATAGGCAGGTCCTCTCATGCCAGACATTTACAACTCTGGATGGTGGGTAAACAATGTAATGTTTATGCAAGATTATGGTTGAAGTAGAACCAGAAGTGATGTTAATGCTTATGTCAAACCTCACTGCTTATGTCAGCAATGGAGTTGTAGCTGGTATTCCTCAATATGTCTATCATTGCAAAGAAATCCTCTGTCAAAAAGAAGATCTACCAATCTTCAGAAGGAGCAAAGCTAGAACAGCCAGACATTTTATTTATATGACATAAATCTGTGACTGTTAGTCAGCTCATTTGTTTAGAGTGTGATGCTGAATGGTGCTAACAGCATGGATACAGTCTTTATATTGGTTATGGTAGTTCATGGAGTTGTGCCTCCTGGTCTTGCCCATGTTTGATGCAGAGTGGTATCACATAAGCTATATAACCATCTACCTTTCTTTAACAGAGAGTGCAATGCCTATAATCCTTCACGGATTATGGCTAATTACCTTAACCTGACATAAATCCAAGTAACACAATTAGGTGTTTGTGTATAATTTATGCCAATGTTATAGAAAATAAACTATATATTCATACAATACTTCATTAAAAAATTGTCATTTATGAGCCAAGACAATTGCTATTTCTTTAAGTGGATTATTTATTTTCATTCAATAAACTTTGTACAATTAAGTCATCACACATCAGCAGTATTGAGGTTATATATTGATTGTTGGTCTTTCATGGACTCCATCATAAGTGAAGGATCAGTGTAGGTGAAATTCCTGTGTAAATTCCACCACTTGTGACCTATAAAGCTCTGAGTAGTTGAGAGCTGGCAAGAGATATTTAGGGTTTGGTAAAAGCCCAAAACGCAGCAGTAATCACTTACCTTTTAATTCAAAGTCTTTCCCCTATTGAACTGAGGGGAAAAATACCTCCAAAAAAATTCAGCCTCTAAGTCCAGGGCTCCTCTTAACAAGTAGTAATACATTTCTCAGAATAATGCTTGTTACTTGATAAACATACCTCTAAGTACTCATTTAAGTTCAGTTTACTAACTGCAAACATGATAATGACTTGAAATTTTAGATAATATGGTTCTGCGGGTGGTTGGGAACTCTGTATGCCACACTTCTGCTGGTGGACTGTGACTCCTAGAGATTTAGCCTTTTGCTGGATGATTTTTATTCAAGAAAGTTCAAAATGTTATTTTTAAGAGCTGAAGACATTTAGAAACTTCAGGAAAAATACAAAAACTGATGGAAAGAGGAAGAGTTTTAGTCATTCTATTGCAAAGAACATTCCCAGTGTAATAAAGCAATGGCTAGAATGAATATGGTGCCGGATATATTTATAGAATAATTTGTTATAAGACAACTGTATTATTTTATTCTTGTACACTTGGTAAGACCTCAGTGCAGTACTGTATCAACTTTCAGCGCTCTCACATTCTGGGTGATAATGACACTTTTTGAAAGGATACAGTAGAGAGTCACAAAATCAGTTCTCAGTTTACAGCATCTTCGTTAGCAAGATATATTCAAAGAGTTCGTCATTAATCAGGAAATAATTTGATCAAAGTTTATAAGATGATGAAGGAAGTAGATTAGTGGACAGTTAGTTCCAACTGAATAGGTGAGAGTGAATTAGAAGTCACAATCGTAAGGGTAAGAATAGTTTAGATTCTGATAGGACCACTTTACTCCAATTCTCCTTATTGCCGTGATCTAATATGAAAAAATGGGCTAAATTCCAAGGTGATGTGAGAGTGACTGCCATTGGTGTCAAGGTGGCATTTGTCCTAGTGTGGCATAAGGAGACTGACTAAAATTTAAGTCAATGAGTATCACAGGAACTCCCTTCACTAGTTGCAGTCATGTGTAGCCGGAAGTGAGGTGATTGTGGCTATTGACAGCCACAATCAACTCTGTCCCATGTCATTGCTGTAGAGGTTTTCAGGGTAGTGTACAAGTCTTAACCATTTTAAAAAGTTTTATCAATGACTTTCAACTTATTGTAAAGTCAGATATAGAGATTTTCACTCAATATTGCCTGTACTCAGTTCCGTTCACAACTGCTGTGCAGCCTGTGCCTGTGTAGTAAGGCCTGGAAACATTTAAGTTTGGTCCAATTAAATGGCAGGAAGTATTTGTGCCAAATAAGTGCCAGACGAAGACCATCTTCAATGACAGATTTTCAACTTCGTTGGTATTCAATGCTATTAGCAATGCTGAATCCTGTACTGAAAGTCACTATTGACCAGAAACTAACCTGGACCAGTCACACAAATTGATTTCAAGGCCAGGTCAGATGTTCGGTATTCCAAAGCAAACAACGTGCCTTCCAACTCCTCCATGTCTTTCCATCATTTGTAAGGCATACCCCAGGAGTATTACGGAATGCTCCCTAGTGCCATGGATGCATGCAGCTCCAAAAAGTAGCTTGGCACCATCCATGACCAAACAGCCCACTTGATTAGTATCCCATCCACCATGATAAATATTCACACTCTCCAGCACTTGAATATTAGTCCACACTGTGGATATTATCTACCAGTTTTTGTTTCTTGTGGAATAGTAGACCTGTGGAGCGGGCTGCTGCATACTGATTCTCTGTTTCTTCAAGTCGGATCTATGTCTGGCTGCGGCTCTGGGAGAATGAGAATATACTGTGTAACATTAATCAGGATCAGAGAGGTCTCTTGGACTATTTCTGTCTAACTGATGTTTTTTGTAATGACCTTGGAGTTTCAGTTTTTTATGTTTCTCCCTTGCAGAGACGCAGCTTTCGCCCGGCTTTGGACTGTTGTAATGAACATGATGTGCAGTTGTGTGTGAATGGACGAATCATCTTGTTCTGTTGATATAATGTAATACACAGCGAAAATATCCCCAAATTCCAGTCTAATTCTTGTAGAACAACAAAATAATTATTTAAAATCGTTACAATACTAGTAATAGATATATTTTCGATATATAGATATAGCATCGATTTCGTGATATTCACAATGTTTGTAGTTTTAAAACGACGTCATTGCTTGCTAATTTCAGGAGCCTCTTAATTACAACCTTCCTTTTGCCTGAATTGAACACAGCTTTATTGCTTGCGTGGAGCTCATTCCCGGAAGTAGTCATTCCGTCGGGTGATTTGAGTCAGAAGGCGGCTGCCGACTGATTATATATGACTCTTTTCTTTAAGTCTGCCTTCGCTTTATCGGCGGGACAAGTGAGGAAGAGCCGGGCTGGTGCATGGTTATTTCTTGTTGGGGAGCGTTGATTCGGAATTTGCTGATGATGAAGCCCAAAGTGGTTTTTGTCCTCGGTGGGCCTGGAGCCGGGAAAGGGACCCAGTGCGTCAAAATCGTCAAGGTGGGTGGAAAATATCATGTAGCCAAGTGGTGGAGGGAGAGCAGCCCTGGGCCACAGCAATCCATGTCCTGGAACCATTCACTCAGGAGGAAGGTGGAGCTGGCCATTCACTTGGAAACCTTTTTGATCCCAAGTGGGGAGTGGGATGATTTGATTGTCGTATTCAATGCGAAACCTATGAGTACACTTTTAATCTAAGTGTACCGGTGAGGCCTTGAGCAACTCGATATTTTGTCCGGGAAAGTGAACGAAGCCGGCAGCAAATGGAATGGGGTGGATATTGATTTAAAAGCAAGTTGTGAAAGTAATTTAATGTTTATATAAATCTGATCCGTCACAATTTGGAATAAATCCTTACTCGAGTTCAGGCAGTATTGACGTTGAGACAGTTAACGTCAGACATTCGTCTGAACTAGAAATGGAAATGTAGAGATTTTAAATTATTACAGTAGCAAGAGTTGGAGAGAAAACATGCAAGGACTGTAATTGAATGAAAGGCAGAAGAGATTAAATGGCAGAAGGGAAGAGAGCGGGAGAGTGGTGATACACTAAGTAACAAATGAGTCTGGAGGAGGTATAAATTGTATTGGATTCATTACCGTCACCTGCTGTCTCAAAAAATGGGGATAGGGGAAATTAGCAAACAGAGGTTATGATCTGAAATTGTTGAACGTTGAATGAGAAATCCCCCAAAAAAAAGCTTGTTTGACAATTTGGTAATATTTTCAGGGTACAGCATTTTGAAAAACAAACCACATGCTTTTAATTCTGTGAACACTTATTAAGGAACGTACAGATGCATGTAATAATTTTGCTGTGTCTGAATTTCTTTGCAATTCTAATTTTTGTATTCTCTAAAGAAGGTGTATGTGCTTGCATTTTTACATTGAGCCCTTTTACTTCGGGAGAAGGTTGGGTAGGATTGCAGATTTTAAGGGAGTTTACCTGTGAGATTTTGACAGTCATTGGTTTGGTTATTAATTGTTTTCATACGGTTAACTTCCAAAACTACATGTGCATTTTGCAAAATATTTTAGCGATTTTTGCATTTTTCTACCTCCATGTACAGAAATGTTTTTTAAAGTTTGGAACTGAATAATTGGTTTCTAAATTATGTCTTATCAAACTGGCCAGTATCTGACCCTAAATGTATTTTAAAAATCCTCATTAAATGTTGAGAAGTCTGAAGGAAATGTCTTTGGTTCCCACAACAGGCTTTATTCCCAAGTCATTGACTCCACCCCTAACGTTAGTGATGGGTAAATTGTTGAAGGGGATTTTGAGGGACAGGATTTACATGTATTTGGAAAGGTAAGGACTGATTAGGGATAGTCAACTTGGCTTTGTGCCACTGGAAATTGTCTCACTAACTTGATTGAGTTCTTTTTGAGGAAGTGACAAAGAAGATTGAAGGCAGAGCAGTAGATGTTGTCTGTATGGACTTCAGCAAGGTGCTCAACAAGATTCCAAATGGTAGACTGGTTAACAAGGTTAGATCATACGGAATGCAGAGAGAGCTAACCATTCAGATACAAAATTGCCTTGAAGGTAGGAGACAGACACTGGTGGTGGAGGATTGTTTTTTGGACTGGAGGTTTGTGACCAGCGGTGTGCTATAAGGATTGGTGCTGAGACCACAGCTTTGAGTAATATATATAAATTATTTGGATGTGAAGATAGGAGGAATGGTTGGTAAGTTTTTACAGGTGGCACCAAAATTGGTGGTGTAGTGACAATGAAGAAGGTTATCTCAGAGTACAGCGGGACCTTGATCAGATGAGCTGATGGGCCAAGAAGTGGCAGGTGAAGTTTAATTTAGATAAATGTGAGGTGTTGCATTTTGGTAAGGCAAATCACAGCAGGATTTATACACACAATGTCACCAAACAATGAGACCTTGGGATGCAGGTTCATAGTTCCTTGAAGGTGGAGTCACAGGTAGTCAGTTAGTGAATAAGGCATTTTGGTACATTAGCCTTTATTGGTCAGTGCATTGAGTATACCAGTTGGGATGTCATGTTCCAGCCGTAGAGGATATTGTTGGGGCCACTTTTGGAATACTGTATGCAATTCTGGTCTCCCTGCTTATAGGAAAGATGTTATTAAATTTAAGAGGGTGCAGAAAAGATTTACAGGGATTTTGCCAGGATTGGAGGGTTTGAGCTACAGAGAGAGACTGAATAGGCTGGGACTTTTTTCCCTGGAGCATCGGAGGCTGAGGGGTGACCTTTACATAGGCTTACAAAATCATGAGGGATATGGTTAGGATGAATAGCCAAAGTCTCTTTCCTGGGGTAGGGAAGTCTAAAACTAGAGGGCATAGGCTTAAGGTGAGAGGGGAAAGATACAAAACGGACGTATGGGGCAACTTTCTAAAAAAAAAAGTGGTGCGTGTACGGAATGAGCTGCCAGAGGATGTGGTGGAGGCTGATACAATCACAACATTTAAAAAGGCATCTGATGGGTACATGCATAGGAAAAGTTTAGAGGGATATGGGCCAAATGCTGACAAAAGGGGCGAGATTAATTTAGGATATCTGGTCGGCATGGACAGTTGGACAGAAGGGTCTGTTTCCATGCTGTACAACTCTGAATCTTTCTTGTAACTGTCTGTAATTGGACCAATTTGTTTGCAAATTTGGTGTCACATTCAATATGAGATGAATCTTTGGTTGCATCCATGCCATCATCGAGACTCCCTGTTTCTACCTCTCAATCATCGCCTTTACCTCTGCCTCAGCTCATCTATTTCTGAAAACCTCAGCTATGTCTTTGTTACTTCTAGACTTACAGCTCCAGTGCATTCCTGACTGGCATCCTATAATCAACACTTTCTAAACTTAAGGCCATCCAAAACACTGGTGCCTGTGTTCTTCTTTATCACTGATCTAAGTTGGTTCCCAGTTAAGTAACGCATTGCTTTTAAAACTACTTTTCTTTATTTTCAAATTCCTTAATGACCTCACTTCTCTAATCTTCTCCAACTATTCAACCCACAAAAATAATTGATAATTCTGGCCTCTTCTGCAATTATGATTTAATTGTTCTAGCTTGGCATTCAAGCCTTCTTTTGCCAACAAGTCGCGTCCTTAAATCTCTTGGCCTCTTTACTTCTTTGAGTCCTTTTTAAAATCCACCTCTTCACCCAGGCTTTGCATCATATTCCCTAATATTATCATACGTGGCTTGGTGTCAAATTTTATTTTTTACTCCCACAAATGAGGTTTTATGTTGTATTGCTATTTGTTCAAATTGTTGTCAGTGGAAAGTGGTCATAAAGCTGTTGGTTTATGAAAACTTTGCTAGTTCACTACTGTCCTTTATGAAAGGAACCTTGCCATTTTTACCTTGTGTGGTCTATATGTGACTCAATTTCCAAACAGTTGTGGTTGACATGACTGCCTTCTGAACAAGCCACTCTACTGTAACTAATTCAGAGCATCAAAGGATGGGTAATAAATAATGGACTTGCCAGGGATACCCACATTCATTATTAATTGATGAGATGGGTTAATTCAAGTTTCTGATTGAACACATAGGGTATAGGCGAGGGAAGGGTAAACTCTAGACAATATGAATTAGTCAATACCCTACTTATCTTTAGATTGTTCAAGCATCAAACAATGCCTTAAGTAAAGCTTACACATTTATATTGTTTGAGACAATCTAGTCAGCTTTCAATTATGCAAAAGAACTACTTTTACGTAAACGTATAGCCTGTCTGAAATCACATTGCCAATGGCGTAGACTTCCTTCTTCAATGTTATTGTGCATCTGTAACACTCGATATTCACTCTACTCAGGGACTGGTCTTTATTGCCTACTTTGCCTATGAGCACTTTATTCCCCACTCTGCTCACTGTCCCAGTCTGCTTTCTAATTGTTGTTCTCACCTAACAGTGACATCACAGACCTGCAACTGTATTGGTAGAAATTGTGTTCCCTCAGTTGCCTCAAAATGATGCTTGCAAAGTTTAATTCATGCAACTTCGGCATATCATAATGTTAAATTTCATATCTCTTAGTATGGATCTAAAACACAAATTTGATTCGCTGTCTGTTGAGTTGGAATATCAAATGTGACTGGAAAATTGAATGAAAGTACAAAAATAAGGACATATCCCATTTTGAAAGTTATGCTTGAATGTCAGAGTTGAATTATTTCCTCCTCTGATCTTTCTTCACTTCAGGACTTTTATATTTAGTCTGAACTCCCCAGGTACAACACCTTAGGAGATCAACCCATATAAATTTGGGAATTCTGGCCATTTAATGGCATACTATTAATGTTGTATTTAAGTAACATGACGTCTGAGAAACATGTTCAAATAGCATTTTATCATGAGTGCAATATAAAAATATTTTGCCAAAATTGAATGACATCTATGTCTTTGGTTAAATTTTATGCCAAGCAGATGTTTTAAAATATCTATCTCAGTGAACTCTCCAAGTTATTTTGCACTTGACTTTCAGTTTTTTGTGATATTGAATTTCACCTGAATTTTCTCTATCTTATTTCAGTATATATTAAAATCTTGTAATCATTAATTATTTTTCATATTGCCCAGAAATATGGATATACTCACTTGTCTGCTGGTGATCTACTTCGTGCTGAAAGAAGCAAAGAAGCTACTCAGTATGGAGAACTAATTGACAGTTACATTAAAGAAGGAAAAATTGTCCCAGTGGAAATAACTATCAACCTTATAAAAAAGGTAGGACAACCTTTTTACAGCCTAAAACCAGTAATGCTTGAAAGCAGTAGAATTCATGGACACATACGTTTAATGTTCTTTACTGAATCTATTAAACACATTTCAGGATTCTTGACAGAATTTGGAGCTGCGCTAGTCTAGCACTGACATCACAGGCACTGTAAATTTGTAAGTGTGTCAATTCCCTCAGTTGCGGTGTCAGCAAGCACAGCTTCTTTTTGCAAAGGCTCCTACACAGAGCTTTATCACCTGTAATAATAATCTTAAAATAAGATTGAAATGAAAGTCTAAGGCAAACTTGAAATATTGACAAATCGATCTTGTTAACCTACTAAATACTTGTACTGCATCCCATTTGAAAAGTTAACAATATATATTGTTCTGGAAGAAGATCTTGTTATTAAAATCACTCATGAAATAGTAATGAACTTGCTATAAAAAGTATACAACAGTCTTACTTATTTGGCCAGGACTTAATCTTCCTTGTTCAGCCAGAACTTGCTGTTGATAGAGGGAACGTTTTGTGTACATATTGATTACAACAGCTGCTGTCAGAGGAAGAACAAGTTTTACAACAGCTAAGTTGTTTCACTTTTTTCTAGTGTTCCTAAAATGATGGTGGTCAGTTAGCTGGATGGCTGGTTTGCAATGCAGTAATGCCACTAATCAATTCCTGCACCATCTGAGGTTACCACGAAGGACCTTCCTTCTCAAACTTTCCCCCTTCGTACAATATCTAATTTACTTAAAGCCATGCTCTTCCCAGGAAAGTTTTTATTTTTTAATGATTGGCAACTTGAATAATTACTATACAAAATGTACAATGGGCTTTAAAGGTGTAATTTTTAAATACAAACTTATTACTTCAGCTGATACCTTGACTGTGCTGTAGGATCAGTACTAAACTAATAGTTTTCTTCCACGACATGATATTGCTTATGACTCATCAAACTAAGTATACGTGATTGCAGACATCAGCCTTCAGGAATGTTTAAGTTAAATATAAAAAGCCCCACTCCCTTTTTGTTTTATCATGGTAATTAACCAGTTATCCTATATGCTTAATGAACTTTGTTCCATGCTGGTAGAATATTTTGAAGCTCTGGCCAATTGATTTGATCATGCTAAATATATATTTTTTAAAACGTTTACTGGAAATTAATTTGACAGAATGTTTGCATTACATTTTTGGTACGTTTTGCAGGCAATGGATGAGGCAATGGCTCAAGATGTGACTAAGAATAAATTTCTTATTGATGGATTTCCGAGAAATACAGACAACCTCGATGGCTGGAACAAACAAATGGATAACAATGCTGATGTGAAATTTGTCCTTTTCTTTGACTGTAGCAATGAGGTAATTTGAATGAACAGTTCTCCAAACGAAGAAAGATACCATGAGAGGAACTGGTATAATCAGTGCATGTCTTCTAAATCTGTTGCTAAAATAGGCAGAGGAATGTCACAGAAGTAAATTTAGTGTATTGTGTTGCCAGTAGTATTTTCCTGTGCTAATCATCTGAAATACATTGGGCTGCATTTTGCTGATAGCAATGAAGCAATAGTGCTCGGCGCTATTCTTGAGAAAAGCTGCCTGCAAAAACCTTGCGATTTCTAGATGGATTCTCCTTTTCTAACTCACTTGATGCAGCAAAGGCTGTGGGACTGGATAACATTAGTTATAATAGTGAAGATTTGCACTCTGGAACTTTGTCAAAACTTTAACCACACATTTCTGTGACATGTGGAGGTGGGAGCTTCCACCCAGTGATGGGGAATATTACCTATATCTCTCATGTCCATGAAGGAAACAGGACGAATCCTACCTAACCAGTTGCTCTGGTATCAGTCTGGTATCAGTCTGCCCTCAGTCTTAAGTAAAAGAGGTGTTGGCAATAGAGCTAATAAGTGACGTTTGCTCACCAATAACCTACTCACTGATGTTCAGTTTAAGGTCTGCCAGGATTATTCAGCTTTGGATCTCATTCCAGCCTATGACTTGCTATGATTCAAGACAGCATTTGATCGTGTGGTGCTGGGAAGTGTCAGTAAAGTTGAAGTGAATGGCAACCATGGGGGGACAGTCTCTTTATTTGTTTTGATGCCAATCATCTCAGCTTTAGGACACTGTTCCATGGTAGTATCTGAGGCCCAACCATTCTTGTGTTCATCTTCAATAATGTTTCCTCCGTGAAGAGGTCAGATATGAGGTTTCTCTCTGGTGATTGATCCGTACTATGCGTGAGTCCTCAGATACTGAAACAGTCCATGCCTGCTTTAAACAAGGCCTGAATAACATTCATGCTTGGGGTGAGATTTGACAAGTAACATCTGTGTGACAGAAGTGCCAAGCAATGAAAATCTTCAACAAGTGAGAACTAACAATCTTTCTTGACGCTTACCGGAATTACCATTGTGAATTCTCCACCATCAACATCTTAGGGTTACTATTGACTAGAAACAAAACTGGACCAGTCATATACAATGAGAATGGCTCAGTCTGGGAATCCTATGGCAAACAACTTGCCTCCTTACTCCCCAAATCCTGTACAGTGTCCACAAGGCAGGAATCAGTAGTATGAAAGAATATTCTCCACTTGCTTAGATAAAAGGAGTTCCAACAATATCCAAAAAGCTTGATACCGTTCAAGCCAAACTAGCCTGCTTAATTGACACCCTATTTACCACATTAAACGTTTGCTCACTCTATCACCAATGCACTTTGGCTGTATGATGTACTTTTTACAAATGGACTGCAACAATTTAACGCGTCTTTATCTGTATATTCCATATCTGCAACCCCGCTCACTTAGAAAAAAACATGGGCAACAGGTGAATAGGAACACCTGCATCTCCAAGTCCCCCTCATAGTCACATCATTTTAACTTCAACTATATTGTTGTTCCTTCATTGTTGTCTGGATCAAAATCCTGGAATTCCCTAACAATAATGTTAGCGTACCAAAACCACACAAACTGCATGTTTCAAGACGGCTGTTTCCACCACGTTTGGGTAATTAATGCTGCTTTGCCAGCAATGCTCATACCTCATGAAAAAATTTGTTTTTAAAAATAAATCCGGTGCCAAGCAAGGGGGATCTTCAGGAGTCCAAATGCATCGATGGTATCGATCAGGGTAAACAACAAGTTCTTTCAAAGACAACAAAATAGAAGTGAACATTCCAAATTCCTTCATTTTTAATTTAAAATTGTACTGTGAAATAAATTATTGACATAAGCTATTATCATAATGTAATCTTAAATCAAATGAGGTAATTTACTTTAAGAAAAAGATAAGTGAAGCAATTTAAATATCAGTCTGTTTACCTTCTGAGACTGTGTTCAAATCCGTATCACATTGATCTGTTTTCTTGGCATTGTTTCTCACTGCAGCCACCGTTTTCTGCTTCTGTGTTCACCACCTTGCCATCTTCCACTCATTAGAATGACAAGATTTGAAAGCCTGGACATCTTGTCTGATTTTTCTCTCTTTTTTTTTTCACTTTTTTTTAAATTTTTTTTTAATCATTTAAAATTGAGCCTTAATAGAAACCAAACTTAATTTCTTACATTCTTCTTGTTTCCAAAGGTCTGTATAGAGCGTTGCCTTGAAAGAGGAAAAGACAGTGGAAGAACAGATGACAATGTCCAGAGTTTGCAAAAAAGGTAGAAATGCAACTTTCTTTCATAGAATCATAGCAACTCAGCACAAATGGAGGTCATTCAGCGCTTTGTACAAATTACCAATTTTATCCTGTTTATAAAGAATTGTCTTTTCTGCTTTTGATATTTATTTTTATTGGACCTCATTTCAGAATTCAGACATACATGCAGTCTACTAAACCCATTATAGAACTATATGAGAAAGAGGGCAAAGTAAAAAGAGTTGATGGTGCCAAAAGTGTTGATGAGGTACGTGATGTGTAAAGTATTTAGTTAACTTCTCTAGTCTCCCTATTTTCTCCTTGTTATAGAGCAAGAATTTGCAATTATTTTAGGGAAGCGTTTGTTATTCTTTGGGCTGACTAAATTTCTTCTTTCCCTTTTGCATTGAAAGACCTGTGATCTAATATTATAGCACCATGGATTTATATGTATTTAATGGTCAATATTTGAAAATGTTTGGTGTTAACTTAGAATTTATTTTGCTTGGTGTTTTTTCAGGTTTTTGTTGAAGTCCAGAAAATCTTTGATTCCGAAAACTGAATTAGCTGTTCTCCTGAAGTTTTAAAAATCAGATGCTTCAAATACTTTCTGCTGGAAGAAGCAGTTATCTTCTACCTGTACTGTTTATTTTACAAGATATATTTTCATCAGAAATTCTTGAGTGGATACATGTCTTTCCATTGGTATATTGTTTGCTATTACTTTTGTATGAAAGCGTTCTTTGCCGAGCAAGAAAACACTGCTTTTTTTTTTTCAAAAATCTGCTTCCAAATACGCTTGTAACTAGAAATCCTCTCTGGGTCACTTATAGATTCAAAGTTCTCGTGTATAACATGTATTTGTCTTAAGGGTGTATTCAGACTCTCCCTCTCATTATGACTGAGTTATGACTTGTATTGTTGCATACCAAATGATCTTATTTAAAACAGGTCATTCATAAATGGTCATTATTTATTAATCTAAATGCATATGATGCTGATTTTGACTTTTAGATGCCCAACTTATTCCACATTTTTAAATTTTGATTGCAAAAGTCATAGTGCTTGAAGGAAAGTGAAAACTAAAGGCCTGCATTTATATAAGTTGTTAATGGACATGAAATAACTTCTGCATAGTGGAAAAATGTAATTTGGAAAAGTAGCCTCTGAACACATGTTTGTTGTCCTTGGGTTTATCTATTTATGTACTTTTTAAGGAATTAAATTGATCTTTTCTTGGTCACACAATATTTAAATGTTGTGTCAAAATCCAGAAATAAATTATCAGCACTGAGGTATTGTCTTCATCACATGGACAGTAGCAATTCAGGAAAGAAACTTATCTTCACTTTTTTCAAGGGCATTTAGGATTGGACAATGTCACTGGAAAGACCAGCATTTACCCACTCCTGGGAACAGATTTTACAGAACTTCATTGTATGTATATTTTTTCCTTTAGAATAAATGTGTTTAAGTGAAAACGGTTGAATCCGGAATAGGTGACTGGAGAAACCGTGCAGAAGAATTTTACACTGCTGGATAATTTGCAAGCCTGATGTAACAATTTCTTTGCTACTCGCTAGCCAGTGCTCAGATGCACCAGTTAGATGCATGTAAGGAAGAGTACGATCATTCAGCCATGTCACTTTGCACTATATTTATGTTGCAATATTTATGAACAAGAGGACACTAGAGAATATTTTCTTAAATTTCTGTCCCACAGTCAGGTACTGTGCATGTGAAAAGAATAAATTGTGAATGCTGGAAATCCAGAGCAGGTCAGTTAGCATCTATAAAGAGAAAAGGCTAAGATTTTTATTGTCTGCTGTTTTACGGAATATCAAAAGATCTACACATGCAATATTAACCTGTTCTTGCCCTTTACAGATACTGATTGGCATGCTTTGTACTTCAAGTGTGCTTATTTGATTTTATTGCTGTGTTTGGAAGTATCATGTTTAATTGTTTACTATGATTATAGTTCTAATCCTTCCATTCTAAACTGACTGGACTGTAATTCTGAGCACTGAATTTTGAGTCTGTAATTTTAAAGGCAAGACTGTACCAGAGTATCTCACTTAATTAACTTGATTGCAAGAGCTTCTGATTTGTTGTTTGTTTCTCATCTTCTGATTTTCTTAATAAAAAAAAAAAAGCCATACCTTTGTATGCTTGTAATTAATAGACATGTGGCTCAAACATGATAAAAGTGGAATATCTTCACTAATGAGCAACATGGCCACATTAAGAATGTGGTTTTATAGCATGTAGGAAACATATCTTAAAGTGTCAGTCCTTGGGAGAGACTCCTATAATTTGTATTTTACGCATTTGCTGGATAGTGTTCGTAAGATTCGGTCTGACCTTTGCTATTCTGAGTAATTAGTCTAATTTGAAATGGGGTCCATTTGCTCACGTAATAACTTAAATAAAAGAAATAAATTGGCTACTGGTTCAAGTGTTTTAAACTTTGCAGAAAAGTAATTCTCAGTGTGTTAGCTTTTAGTGTCTGAATCCAGAATATTGTTTGTTTGGATTTTACTAAAATATATATTTGTAAATGTTGATACAAGAGCAACACGTCTAGTAATTTTCAGTGAGTAACTCACTTTTCAGACTTCCTAAAGCCTGTCCACCATCTAAAAAGCGAAAATCAGGATGGAATACATTCCACTGTCTTGGTTGACTGCAGTTCCAATAACACGGAGCAAACTTAACAGTATTCAGGGCAAAGCAGACTGCTTGATTGGCCCCAAATCCACACCATAAAAATTCAGTCTTTCAATAACCAATTGATAATGGCAGCATTGTACACAATCTGTGATGCAACAACTCAGCAAGCCTCCTTTGACAGCACCTTCCAAACCTGTGACTCCTACCACTTAGAAGCACAAGTGATGTAGATTCACCGTGGGAATACCATACCTTCAAATTCCCCTGCAGTTTACACACCATCCTGACTTAGCGAAGCAATGGTAATATAGTTCTGTCACTTGGTAAAAATCCATAACAGCTGTATGTGTGTGTGTGTACCTCCTCATCAGTAACTGTCCCCCTGAAAAGCAGTAATAGCAGCTCAAGGATATGACTCACCATAACATGTTCCAGGAAAATTAAGGATGGGCAATAATGCTGACCTAATCAGTAATGTCTACATCCTGTGAATAAAAATACTTCCAGTTCATTATGCTGACTTATTAATTAATTTTTTTGCCAATTATCTGTCATCTGACGATGCTAGAGTGTGGTGCCTTTTGACACTTTGGCAAAGTGGCCTTAGTTTTTCAATATTTATTTACTATGAACATAGGCATCGTGGTCTGTTTTCCATCACTCGCATGATTGAACCATTAGAGTTTGGAATGAGTGGCACATTTGGCTGATAGTTTTCCTGTTCCTGGACAAGCATTGACTTGTGTTTTTATGTTTAGATGTACAAACTAGTGACTTAGGTTACATTTACTTAATGTATAAAACTGAATTAAATTAGTATTTGTGCAATTAGAACTTTTGGAAATTGCTGTTAACTTAAGCAACTTAGCCATTTTTGAATAAAAGGTTATTTTTAGTTCAAACCAAATTGGATGTGCCAGCTATTGACTAGCTGGTTGCCGTTTGATACATGTCCTGTACTGCAGTCTCATTCAGTAGTCATATTCCTTTTGATGCATCTGTTGTAATTTGAGGTGATTCTCTTTTAATCTATCCTTAATCTGCTATACTTCTAAGGTTTTCTTAAAATAAATATACTTTTTTTTTCAAAAAAGTCTTCCCCTTGCAACCCCTCTTTTTCCCTTCTGTTGTCTATTACTTGCCTGTGAATAAATAATCTGCTACTGCTATTTAAGGCTGTAAATGACCAGGAATTATTGAAGACTAAGTTTGGAATGATGTATAAATTGCGAATTTCTATTTACATAGGAATTGTTAATTGCTATGCACTAGAGCATAGGCTTTTGTCGGTAGTCTCATTTTTGGCACAATTCCTGAATCTAGAAATCACCAACTTCCTCATCTATTCCTTTAAACTGGAGTGAGAACCAGTTGGTCATAGGGATTTGCCTCTCAACAACCCTTTTTTTGACTATGTTTAAATTAAATTGAGGAAAAATTGAATCCATGATGTTCATCCTGGACTACTGATGGTATGAGATATCAATTAAGAAATCATTGCCTTGAGTTAAAATTTTTATGCCTCAAGAATGCTGTAAGGACTGTAAACTTTACCTTCCATTTTCATTTTGTACTGGAAACAATACCTTCTTAACTTGGTACCTGTGTATGTATGCTTGAAATCACGTCTTTAAAAGAGGGGAGTCAATTCATATGTCCTCCGTTGGTTATAAAAATGTAATTATGTTCAATAAAGTCTGTTTGCTGTTCACTCGCAAGAATGTACATTATATTACAATAGTTCATAGCTGCAGGAATCTAAGTCATTTTTGATCATGGTTTTCTCATTGCGAAAGGTAATGTCTTCTAATGTGCTTGTTGAACATACTAGTGATTTACAGTAATAGTTAACTACTTTGACAGCTAATATAGAATTGTAGGTGAAGATGGGCAACAGCTGGCTGAACTGCAAAAGATTTCAGGTAAGCTGAAATGCCCAAGTTACAACCCTTGGTTTATTGATGTGAATTAGATTTATGGATTTACAATAAAACAGGCATTTCACTTTGATTAGCATTCATACTTCTCTTATAGCTATTTTAAGATATTGGAAGATATAGAAATTCAAACGAGGAGTGGTATGGAGATTAGTACTTTGTGAGATGATGACATATTGAAGAAGCCACTGTGCTTTATGTGCCAAAGCAATGTAATCTATATTTTTCTTGCCAATAAATGAGCTTTGTGGGTCAAAATTAGATGATTTGGTACCACGTGTTGTGTAATGTATAATTTACAAAATACAACAGTCTCTTTGGTTTCCAGTTTTACCACTAGGTGGACTTATAGACTCATATTACACATAGATGTTTCAGTCTCAGCTGGTGGTATTCCTCATGTTGGTCTGCAGAAATGATAGGGATTAATTGATTTATTGAAAATCTATACCCGATCTCCATGTTTGTGTCTTAAAGTCAAATCATCCTTTCAAATTAAAAGGCATTTTCATAATAAACTAATTTTCAAAAAATGCTATTTTTATCTGGAATTTAGAGTTTTGGGACTGAACTGTTGAATGGAACCAATTTTGTTTCTGCTCCTGTATAATTTTATAATCCCAAGAATGATATTTCATTTCATTTAAATGACATATTTCAAGGACTGGGAAGATTTATTTCTCAAGTTCCATTTCTTGAAGTTCCTTCATTGTCTTATGGAGTTGGGAAGAATTATCCAAGATGATGTGGTTGGTTCGCTCGCTGAGCTGGTCCGTTAGTTCACAGACGTTTCATTACCCTGCTGGGTAACATCATCAGTGCAGCCTTCGATGAAGCGCTGTTGTGTTTTCCCGCCTGATATTTGAACTCTGGGGTCCATTGGAGTTTATTACCTCATTTCTGGTTTTTTCTTCAGTGGTGTATATATAGGGTCTAGATCTATGTGTTTATTGTTGGCCTTCTTGGTGCAGAACGAGGCCTCGAGAACTTCCTGTACTTGTCTCTGTTTGACCTGTCCTAGGATCCTGATGATGTCCCAATCGAACCTGGTGGTTCTCCTTATCTGTGTGATTGGAGACGAGTAAGTATTGGTTGTGTCTTTTTGTTGCTCGTTGGTGTTCATGTATTCTTGTGGCCAATGTAATGTTTGTTGCAGTCCTTACATGGAATTTTGTATATCACGTTGATTCTGTCTTTGGTTCGAGTTAACAATTAACATAGGTTTGTGTGCTACTTTGATACCCAATGATCGTAGGAGTCCTGTGGTCAGTTCGGATATGTTCTTGATGTATGGCAACGTGACGAGTCTTTCAGGGCGTACTGTATCTTCTTGTTGTTTGTGTGATAGGCATTGTTGGACCCAGCTGTTCAGGTATCCGTTGTCCTTAAATACTTGGTAGAGGTATTCTTCTTCGTTTTGGCATAGTTCCAGGTTGCTACAGTGTTGTCGCTTGTTTAAATTGTGTTTTCATGCAACTTTGTGGGTGTTGGGGTGGTTACTGTTGAAATTCAGGACTTGATCTGTGTGTGTGGCCTTTCTGTGTACCTTTTGTCAGAAATTCTCCATTGGCCCTGCATTCTACCATGACGTCTAGGAATGGGAGCTGTTTGTTCTTTTCTTCTTCCCTGGTGAATTTGATGCCGGTAGAAGTGTTGTTTATTAGTCGGTGCATCTCCTCTAGTTTAATCCATTTGATGATGACGAATGAGTCGTCCACGTATCAGATCCATAATTTAGACACAATCAATACTCACTCATCTCCATCACACAGATAAGGAGAACCACCAGTTCGATTTGGACCACATCAGGGTCCTAGGACAGGCCAAACGGAGACAAGCATGGGAATTTCTAGAGGCCTAGTTCTCCACCAAGAAGGCCAACAATAAACACAGAATTAGACCCTACGTCTACACCACTGCAAAGAAAAACCGGAAATGAGGTAATCAACCTCCAATGGACCCCAGAGTTTAAATATCAGGCGGGAAAACACAACAGCGCTTCATCGGAGACTGCATTGCCAGCAGGGTAATGCAACGTATGCGAATTAATGAACCAGCTCGGTGAGTGAACCAATTGCAGCATCCGTGGCCCAAGCTACAAATCTACTCCAGAACCTAATCCACAATATCTGAAATTGGGAACTGCTGCGTCCTCCTCCTATTTCCTAGGACTTGGCGTATCAGCAGTTTTGGTGAATGTTTGAGTTTGCTCACTGTAGTACAGAATCTGTATGAAGGACTCAGGAGTTTAATTTTTAAAAGAATGAAACTATAACTTTATAAATGAATCACTGCTGTTATAGTCTTGCAAAAGGCTTTTTTTTTTGCTAAATGCGAAAGATCTTAATGGATCATAGTATTTTTTAGATAAACAGTAACAGCAGTGAGCACTTGTTAGGTTGATAATTTTCTTTATACTTCGAGATTTGCTTTAACATCTCATCAGAAAGTTGGCACCTGTGACAGAGCTAAGGAAATAAAATTGTTTTCTATTTACTGACAGAAATCCACAAAACCTTTTGCAGTAAAATTAATATATTTATTGTAAAGTTTAAAG